GGCGACAAATGCAGGTAATAATATACTACCGGACAAGTCCAAGAAAATTTACGAAAATTTATATGGACAATTTATGGATTGCAAACACCAAGAACACATCGTCTTTCTCAGAAAATGTTTTGATAGTATATTTTGAAGAATTACAACGAAAAATTAAACCTTCAACTGTATGGACGCATTACTCAATTATAAAATCTCTATTTCAAAGTTAAGCATAATGTTGACATATCTAAATATCATAAGTTTTATCAATGGCAGTAGAAAAAATAGTGTATGCAACTCTCATGTAATGGCCATTAATACACTCGCATGTTATATACGAAACTCGCCTTCGGCTCGTTTCGTATCCTACAACATGCTCGTGTATTAATGGCTATCATTACATGATCATTGCATAATATACTATTATTTAACAAGTTGTAAAATGAGCGTGTTTTTTGTACTAAATGTAAAGAATGGGTGGAAAAAGCGGGAAAACCGGGACAATTCACATGAAAAGCGGGACCTGAAATTAATTTAAAAAAAAGCGGTACCGATTAACAAAATGCGGGACTGTCCCTCCTAAGGTGGGACGTCTGGCAACCCTGCTCTACACTGAAGAGTCTACCCAAACTATCCCGATCAGTCAGAGTGAACACGGATTACTAAGAGTGCACAGAGTGAGTAATCCGAATCAATCCGTCCGTGAATTTTGATTTGAACCGAACTCTATAAAACGAGAGTCACAAGAAGCCCTGGAACTCTTCGTTCGGGGAACTCATGAAAAGAAAGTTTTTTTTTAAATTTAATTTGCTCCATGTTGAATATGCATCGACTCAAAAGCCCCATTCAGTATGGCCCAGTTGTACAATCTTGATTCAAAACAGAGTTCAGCTGAACTGTTTAATAGTGAATTCCATTGGCAGAATCAATGCAGAAAAAATGTATTTTTATTTCTTTCTTATACAAGCTGGTAGAAAAAGATACGAATACACTCAGTGCTCACTAATCCTTCCAATGGAATTCGCTGTGACGTATTTGTTCGGAAACGAGTTCAGTTCAGTTCAATTAGTTCGGATTGATCTGATACGATCGATAGAACCAATGGACAGAGCACAAAAAAATATAATGAACAGGCATGTTGGATATCTGAACCGCGCTCTTTTTTACAGCGGTTTCCATTTTCGAACCAGTGCAAAAAAATTTATCCTTATCTTTACATGTTAGTTACATGCTTTTAAAAAAAGATGCGGATACAGAAGTGCGCACTGACTGACAAATAGAAATCGCCATTAGTTGTATTCCTTTCACACCTAGGAGGAGCTCCGGAACAGCTCCGGAGCTTCACGCGCTTATTCCTTTCGAAAAGTGTTTGTTGCACCACGCATCTGTTCCCTGCAAATCGGGGGCTACTAAACACCGGAGCGAGTAGCTCGAGTGTTTCAAACTCTTGAAAGGAATACAACTATTAGAATCACAAGCTCCGAAGCTACTCGTTTGAAGTCATTCGGAGTAACTTTTGAAAAAAAGGCTTTTAAAGTGAAACTTCTTAACGCGCCTTTGGGAGTACGTTCACAGTCGAACGCCGGACGCTCACCGAGTGCACACCGAGCGCGTGTTTTGCAGGGTTAAGTCGTTCACGGATCTACCTAATTCACCCGGTTAAAATATTTGTTCCGTTCACAGAGCCATGATAACTTTACCCGGTTGTACAACTTTTTAACCCACTCTGAGACATGGGTAAAATTTGTCGCGCAGGCGTTTTACAATAGAATATTTGAAATTTGATAAACAATACTGTTGGTAATCTTTCTGGGCCATACATTGCCGACTTCAACTGGTTTTCAAGTTTTCCAGGAAGCCAGTTGAAAGCCTCTCTGGAAACTCTAAAATTTTCCTGGAACTCCTTATCGCTATAATAGGGAACTTGCACTTTTTTTTTTAATTTAAAAAATGTGTTGTACGTTGTACTACATTAAAGACATAGTCATGCCAAATATCAAGCAATAAAAATCAGCCGTTAATTTTTTATAAATATTTGAAGTTACGTTCGAAACATCGCCATTTGAAACGACCGATTAGTGTGACGTCACTCAGCAACAAAATTCCGTTCACAGTCCTTGGTTGAGAGCAGTGACCTGCGAGCAGGTAGATTTACATTATGGGTATGTTGTTATGTATCAAATGCCGTTTATGATAGATTTGACATTGACAGCACCAGCAGCACATGGCGTGGCAGCGGTGCGACCCGATTATTACTGCCCTTTGACGTCAGGACCCATAGAAATACGTTTTTGATCTCGTCTAGAATTTCGAATTATTTGGTATTTTCAATTGAAGATTTTGAAAACCAGAGATAAGATATTATGTCCTTTTCCTAATTGCATCATTTATTAGGATGATTGTTATTGTATTTTATTATTTATTTTATATTTAATTTAATGTGCAAGTTCCCTATTGCGTATTGTTGCCATAGAATTATCCTGTCTTCCAATGTTCCAATATGCCTTTTTTCAGGCTTGAAACTTAAACTGCTAGCGCTAGTACATGCAGCTTCTGCTACAGCATAGCTGACTTGTTCCTCTGTAGCAGACGAATCCGAAGAAGTTTCAATAGTACTTTTAAATAATATTATTCCCAGATCCATCTCGAAACATTCGAAACACAACGTATGTAAACAAAAGAAAAAAAAACAAATCCTACCACGTTATGGCGCAGGCGTTAGTCGTTCACGGATTTGTCATCCCAAGCGCATCCTTTTCAACCAGTGAAATATTTAACTTGGTTAAGTTTTACCCAGGGTAAACCACTGCGAACGCGCCCTGGAGTGAAATCTTGAGGCCATCATGAGACACGTACTAGCAATACAAAAATAGAATTTGTTCGAAATTTGGAACAGTTCTGAGATCGCACAGAACTGCTTGCCCACAAAAAAATAATGGAGGACTGTTCAAATACTAGTTCTGAACCGATTCGAAACAAAAAAAAAAAAACAGAACAAGCCGCATATCATAAAATTCCATAACAGTTCCTCCTTCAGAGCAAGAACTGAGGGAACCGTTCTAGAACAATCCTAGAATTGTTTTTATTAGTTGTATTCTTTTGACTCCTAGGAGGAGCTCCGGAACAGCTCCTGGGCGTTACGCCCTTATTCCTTTCGAAAAGTGTTTGTTGCACCACGCATCTTTATTCTTTTCAAATCGGAGGCGACTAACACTGAAGCGAGTAGCTCTAGTGTTCTAAATGTTCTAATTATGTTCCATTTGTACTAACTCAATTTAAATTACTCGTATTAAATCTGCATTAATTCTATTTGAATTCCTTCTATTGTTCGAGTTACTCCAAGTGTTCTAATTGCTTTAACCACTGTTGCATCTGCACTATCTCCGTTTTTCTTTGCACTGCTCTTATTGTTACTGTTCGAACTACTCTGCTACTAAATAATAAATTTATTTACCATTATAACCTAACAGTAGGTTGATTCGAAAATTAATTCTGGATTTTTCGTAATTCTACTCTGACTCTTCCAAGCGCAGTGACTTTTTTTGATTTGTTCAACTGTCCAAACTACTTTTACTGTTTTAATTCTGTTTCATCTGCACTAATTCGATTTAAATTACTCTACGTATTCCATCTGCATAATTCCTATTTGAATCTCTTCGATTGTTTGAGCTACTCTAAAAGTTCCAATTGCTTTAATTCCTGTTTTAATTGCAGTAACTCTGTTCTGTTTGCACTGCTCTGATTGTTACTGTTCGAAATACTCTAATATGCTACTAAACAATGAATTTATTCACTATAAAAGTAGGCTGATTTGAAAATTAATTTTGGGTTTTTAGTAATTTTACTCTGACTGTTCCAAGTGCAGTGACTTTTTTTGATTTGTTCAACTGTCCGAACTACTTTGACTGTTTTAATTCTGTTTATCTGCACTAACTCGATTTAAATTACTTAGTATTCCATCTGCAATACTATTTGAATCTCTTCTATTGTTCGAGTTACTTTAAGTATTTCTATTTAATTTCTGTTCCATTTGCACTAGCTCTGTTTTGTTTGCACTGCTCTGATTGTTACTATTCGAATTACTCTAAGATGCCACTAATCAATGAACGTATTTCTATAATAGTAGGCTGACAGTATAATAAGTCAAACTAAACTTTGAAGGTTAAAATTATGCTTGGATTTTCACATTTAGATAGAATAATACTATACACGTTTAAAATGCTCAAAGTACAGAAGTGCCCTTAACAACGTAACTGTCAATATTACATGCCGGCAAATGACTGTTGCACTGGTTCGCAATATTTCATTGCAAGTCAAGGTTGTTTGAGAGGGTTGGGTTGCCTGATAACTTTTATTACGTCATCCAGACGACTAAACATAATGCAAATTTTCATAAGATCGTCCTAATGACGTCATCTGTTTAGCATTACCAGACAACCTATTAAATTGCAAGTGATAAACTCTCCTTTTTCGAGTTAAAATTTTTGGAGCGAGTTCCAATTACTCTACTCCATATATCTGAATATGAACGTAGCTATTCTACACTACGAACGGGCGGAGTGGCTACAGAGTACTCTAGAGTGCAGCCAGCTGAAAAAAATACCAAGTAAAATTAAATTCAGTAATACCAACCGGAAGAAACTAAACTTTTGTTTGAATGTGTCAGTCAAGTATCAGCTGACTATTTGACATTGAATTTATAAATAGTTTTTTGTTTTTCAAGGTTTATCTTTTTATCACAAAATCATAAATCTTCCTGGCTTGAAATAGAATCTTTTCCCAAAAATCTAAGTTTAGTTCAGCAATAGCTAATTACCTAATAATAAATCCCAAAATAAAGCATAAAAACATGGTTAGAGGGTTGGTGAGTTTCAATTTGAAACCTATTTTAAAATAAAATACATTTTTAAACTTTTTCAGTTATCTTTCCTAATTGGAATTTACACAGGGATTTATATGAGTCAAAACTATGAAGTAAGTCAATAGTACAACTAAAATCTGACTATTAATTTGAACCTATTTAGGTACCCAGAGTAGACGATCCAGCAGCCCTGTATGAAAAAATCAAAGAATTTGCAGACAAACACCGAAAATCTTAGTTTATATTATTAATAAATTAGTTTACATCAATAATCCTATTGCAAAATTACTCCACCACCTAAATACTCGGCCCTCATAGGCGGTTCAACAAACGCCAACCAATCACTAGCATGTGTGGGCAACAGCCCCATACTATGACACTTATAAAGCGCCAACCCTACATTAACCAAATTTCCAAAAATATACACAATCATTTGCAAAATTGCACTCGAAGTTTCCATCATTTTAAAAGTACTTTTGGTGGCCCAAATCGCTTGAATCGGTCGCATCAACAGCATTCCAACCATCATAATAGGAAAAATGGAAATCGAGTTGCCTGCCATGTACGATATAAACAAATTCATCGGGACTTGTTTGATGGGGGCCAGAGCCAAGTCCCAAGATTTTTTGTTTATTAAACGAGAAATGTCGGTTTTTTTGGTGACTTCGCCGCCGATGCTGACGGTTGACGATGAAAAGGCTGGCGGAGAGGCCAAAGGCTCAGAAGGACCTTTGATTCTTTGAAAAATAATGACGTTATTGTGAGTTTTGATTATAAAAGGGGCACTTACTTTATGTTGTCCAAACTCCATTTTTGTCTGCGGTTTGTCGACTTTGACGCCATGATTTTCTAACTGGAATTTATTAGTTGATTTTGCTAGTTTTTTTTATTTAGAAATTGTTTAAATTAAATAAAAATTAAACAATCAATAATTTTGAGGTTAAGGTTAGGTTAAAAAAAATCTGTGTCAATTACAATGTTGCCGTTGCCAATAGAGGAGGCTGTGCCAATAGGCAAGGATACAACGGGAGAAAAGGATGTCCTCCTAACTTTGCGGTTAGATGGCGTCAGTTTTGTGAGGAATTTATTTCTGTTTCAAATACAGCGTCATGTTAATTGTTAATTAATAATTTAAACCAGGATTTAGTTGATTATTTTATTTATTTACGACTAATGTATAATGTGCGTATTATATTTGTGATTTTGGCAGTATAATGACATATGTTATTCCTCCAGGGGATTAATGACGAGTAGCGGGATTAATGGTCATTATTCCACAAAAGTGTCAGTGTCAAACGTGTAGTGCTTGTGGATTTGTATTGAAAATTATGAGACGGATGAAATTTGTTCATTGAAAATCTCAAATAAATTAATTTGTCGTAAATAAAGTAGAGTATACTACTCGCAATAATGGCTATTATTCCCTCGGAATGTTACTCCCTCGCCGCTAACGCGGCTCAGTTCGTAATAATCCTCGGGAATAATAGCTATCATTATTGACTCGTGGTATAATCTACTATTATATTTATTTTGAAATAAAAATTACATTAATATAGTTTTTTTTCTTGTTGACTTGCTTTGCGCATGTCTGAGCTTCAATCAGAGGTTTTGTAAATCCCCGCAACCCCGAACGCCCGAACTGGCGGCCATCTTGTCGACACAAGTTCTTTTCAGGCGTCGTTTTTTCGCAAAATTTTGTAGTTTTTCTGGCGTTTTTTAATGTGAATAATTGTTTTGAAGTGTTCGTCGGGGTGTTTTGCGTCCGATTGGTGCACTCCATAAGGGACAATGAGAAAAACTACGGGTTTGTGGACTAATAAACGTGTGCTGCTGGGGCAACATAAATCGCAAGGTAGGCCTTTTTGGGTTACCATTTTATTAAAAAACATAAGCTTTGTAGAAACTACACCTATGTCCGATTGACCAATAAAGTGCTATTTATAGAACAGATTTGCGTCAATAAAGTAGCACTTTATCGTACTAGTAAAATAAAGTGCTACTTTATTGCCTACCTGGACTACCTGACAAGTTGAAACAGGTCCTGACAACCTGCCAAGGTGGAACAGGTATACCTACGCAAATTTTACTTTTTCATTAAATTTTTTTAATTTCTAACAAAAACCAGTCGTAATCGCCTACATAAAATCATGTATATAATGCTTACATAAACAGGCTTTATTGACTCATTATTTAATAGCCTCGCTCGCAAGCTCGCTCGGCCATAAAATTATTCGTACAATAAAGCCTTACTTTATGTACTTGTTATACAGGGTGTCCCTCGGTGGATGGCGTATTAGACATTTATGGAGAACCAAAAAGCGGATCATTTTGAAAATTTGGCAATCGTGATAAACGACCATGATCCACACTTTAAAAATATTTTTGGCCATGCGGTGTTGGCGCTTCTACTCTAAACCAGTGGCAACATCGCTATTTTTAATGGAACACCCTGTATGTGATTGCATATTTGAATTCTACGTGAAATTCTGAGCAGATTTCATGCATTATACCCTTTACCTAAGTTCAACTGTTTTGGAAATATTGACAGTTGAAAATTATCTTTTTGTAACTTTGACAGGCTATTAAACCTAAACGGTTAATTTTAGAGGAAAACCGATTTCACATTCCTATCTTAGATTTTCTTAAACTATCATCTGACACCAACTTTGAATTTAACCGGAGATTAAATTTAATTGGAATTTTTAATCATGGATTATATTCAAAGTTGGTGTCAAATGATAGTTTATACAATTCTAAGATAGGAATGTGAAATCGGTTTTCCTCTAAAATTACCCGTTCAGGTTTTACAGCTTGTCAAAGTTGCAAAAAGTCAATTTTCAACTGTCAATATTTCGAAAATAGTTGTACTTAGGTATAGGGTATATCACATGAAATCTGTTCAGAATTTTACGAAGAATCCAAATATGCTGTAACATACAGGGTGTTCCATTTAAAATAACGATGTTGCCACTAGTTTGGAGTAGAAACGGCAACACCGCATAAACAAAAATATTTTTAAAGTGTAGATTATGGTCGTTTACCCCGGTTGCCAAATTTTCGAAATGATCCGCTTTTCAGTTCTCCAATAACGTCTAATACGCCATCCACCGTGGGACACCCTGTATAAATAGCTATTATTGAAAAACTAAATTTTTAAAAGGAAAATGCCCTTAAAGGCTGGTTTCTCAATAGCATAAGTCGGGTTAAGCATAATTCCAGCAGTGGCGTAACTTCAAATCCAGGGCCCCCGCCCCCCCGCAAGGATTTTCCCGGGGCCCATCTTTTATGTATTTTTTTTTCTTTCTAATTTTGCTTTATACAGGGTGTTCGTTTTAAGTGATACCACTATTGCTATCTCCGAACCGGTGAGAGGGACGAAGTAGGTTAGGTAAATTAGATAAAAGTGGCAGATTTTAGTATCCATTGAAGGTAAGTACACAGGGTTGCCAAGTTTTTATTCGTTTCCGAGATATAAAAGAAAATGTAAAAAAAATTTAAACTTATTTAATGAATATTTCAAAATCTATTAACTTTAGAAAAAGTATTCATACAAAAGATTCAAGATTCTTTCTTCTCTACAAAATGGTGTCATTGTTATCTTCACACGGCTCGAAACAAACATAAATAAGCGAAGGGGAAACCACCTTAGAATTTTGGTGTACAAACTGATAGAATTTTTTAGAATTTCTTAGAATTTTTTAGAATTATCAGTATTTTTTAGCATTTTTTAGTATTTTCTAGCATTTTCTAGAATTATTTAGAATTTTTTAGTATTGTTTAGAATTGAATTAGAATTTTTTAGAAATAATTTTGAATTTTCACCTATTGCGCATGCTTAAGAGCCCGCGCACTGCGCAATCTGTTGGGATTTTTGAAATTTTTTTTGAATTTTTAGAATTTTTCGAGAATTAGCATTTTTCAAAATTTTAGAATTATTATTTTTGGTGTAAAAAAATGGGTAGGTGGGTTCCCCCGAGCGGGAAACCTTCTTAGAATTTTGGTGTACAGGGTGTCATCCCCTTCTAACTTTTTCATTTGACATTTTTGGTAAAAGTGTCAAATACAAAAGTTTCAATAAATTGTCGAAAGTTTTTAACCAAGTCAGTTTTAGACATACAGGGTGTGTCAAAAAAGTGTAGCAGTGTGAAGTTATATTTTTTTAAATGGAACTCCCTGCATATTGTGCGATATACGATTTGATGTCAATCTTCGATATTTATAAGAAAAAACATGAAAACTCCTTTCAAGGTTTCATATTGAAAAAAGAAAAATTATACCATTTAAGCTTTAGAGAATTTTTTTTATGAACAGTTTATTGTTCAAATTTTATTCATTAATGTACAAGGTGAAATATTATATTATAATAAATCCAGTTATTATTATTATTTTTGAAAAAATAACATGAGAGAACTAGCAAGGGATTTTCGCGTTTTTCCCTATAACTATTGAAGATAAACAGAGAGATAAACATATCAAACCGTATATCGTTGAAATCATATTATCTAGGGGACTAACAAATAAGCGCACAATATACAGGGTGTTCCATTTAAAAAAATATAACTTCACACTGCTGCACTTTTTTGACGCACCCTGTATGCCTAAAACTTAGTTAAAAAAAAAGATAATTTCTTAAATATTTTGTATTTGACAGTTGACACTTCTGTCAAAAACGTCAAATGATAAAGTTAGCAGGGTTGACATTTATAATAGATCACCCTGTACAAACTGATAGAATTTTTAGAATTTTTCAGAATTATCAGTATTTTTTTGCATTTTTTAGTATTTTTTAGCAATTTCTAGAATTATTCAGTATTTTTTAGAATTGAACTAGAGTTTTTTAGAAATAATTTAGAATTTTTATCTATTCCGCATGCTCAAGAGCCTGCCCAATTTGTTGGGATTTTTTAGAATTTTTTAGAATTTTTTAGAATTTTTAGAATTTTTTGGGAGAATAATAACATGAAAACTAGCATTTTTCAGAATTTTAGAATTTTTGGTGTACAAAATTAGGTAGGTGGTTTCCCCCTCGTAAATAAGCTAATGGCATGGCCAAACAATGAACTACCTAATATACAGGTTTGACAGGTCAACAACAGGCAAATTTTAATGCAATAGAATGAAATGTCTAGAAAAACTCTAAGGTTGAATAGAGAACGAAAGATAACGATTTCCCCTATTCCACCTCCAGCATTCCCAGTGCTTTTTAGCCACCTTGTTGTCTCCCTCCGCTTCGCGACGGGAGGCAGACCACATCTCGCTCTAAAATCTAATACTTTTTTCCCTTGTATAATGAATAACTATTATTGATGGGATGTTCCATCTTTTGGTGTTAAAGTTGCTCAATATATTGGAATATAAAATATCATCTATAACTCATTGGAATGTAGCCGGCGCGTTCTTCAAACCAAAGGGCATGCGCAAGAACTTATAATGCCCGTTTTCTGTTCAGCTGAATGCGGTTTTTTCGATGTCGTTGTCTAGATCTGGTGGAAGCCGCTAGCTAAATCTGAGGCAGTGAAATACTGCCAGCGTCCCAGCTTCTTCATGAAATCCGTTATGTTGGGTAATGGGTATCTGTCAAACTGTTTGTCAAAGTGATTACAGCAAAAACAACAAAAACATAACACACACAAGTTTGATATAAAAATAAATAGTTAGGAATGTTAGGATCAGGAACTCAATATTTTTCTATCTATTCACTACACCCACTACATACAATGCCAAAATCACTATGGGGGCTCAAGCCCCATTGCCCCCATGGTTCCGGCGCCTATGTGTCTAAACATTTCTCTCTGAGATCCCTTACATTGGTTAGACATACTTTTTCAATGGTTTTTATGTATGATGAGATTCAAAGGTTAGGTTTAAGTATTTTCTTTTAGATTAGTAATATTCTTGTCGCCAGTTTGGTAATTTTTTGTCGTCTGGTCTCACGGGGCCCCCCCGCAACTGCAGGCCCTGCGGGCCCTTAGTTACGCCACTGAATTCCAGAA